GAAAGAAGCAGAAGATTAACCAGGAACACACCAGGAACAAAGAGGACACGAGACAACAAGAGACTAACCAGAAATAGTCCAGGAACAACCAGAAGACTAACCGGAAACAAATAGTGGACGCTGTAGAAACAAACCAGAAACAATGGAGCAACTAACATGAGACTAACCAGGAACAGAATGAAAACTTACCAATAGTAAACCAGACAAACAGTATGGAAATTACCAAGAAAAATTCTGGGAACTAACCAGAAATCATACATAAACCAACAAAAAGAACAAAATAATTCTAGACAGCAACTGCAATGAACTTCCCATGAAGAAATCCCCTCCAAAATATGGAACTTAACTTTCAACTGACTCGAAAATAACATTCCAAACACTAACCAGACACAATGCTATGGTATATGGAAATAAAACCGAAACCATCCAGAAAACACTCCAGGAAATCACCCAAAATCATACAGAAGCCAACCAGAAACTACCTGAAAAATCCAGAAACAAAACAGAAGACAGAAACACTCCAGAAACTGAAAATGATTTCAACAGGATGAGCTGCAGATGAGTGAAAGTTCTCCTGGACGTCTGCAGCACACTTTTACTCCTGAACCACTCTGTCGTGAAGAATCTGAGTGATTCAGTGTGTTTGTATGAAACACACACACTGCTGCTGTAAACAACGTTAACTGGGTTATCTGGAGGAGGTCAAAGCCACCGGCTCACTCTAATGTCATCATACATCTGCTTTGGCCCATATAAGTATTTACACGGGTTTAAAATGTCAACAATAACAGCTGAAAGATGACGAAAAAAGTTGGTAAGAAACATCTGTGTTTTCAGATTTGATATGAGAACATTGATTATAGCTGCTGTAAATGGTGAGTGTATACTAAATATTCATATTTTTGTGTACAGTTTGAAGCAGAAGACACCAAACCCCTGAAGAATATAAGAAATGCTGCTTTATCAACACAAATGGAAATTCTCGTGGAGATTTCAGGGGTTTCTAAAATGACCCCGCATTTTCCTGACTGCACATGAACGCAGCGTAACGGCTGACTACATCCCACAAATGGCGAGAACAGAGCTCAGCAGTGTTTCTTCCAGCTCGCCACAGTCAGCAGCTCCGTCCTCTGAACTGACTCCAGACCTGTAATCTGGCTCCAGATCTGGATCTTCACACTGCAGACCCAGAAACCCCGACCAGCTCCGTCACAGGCGAGGAGGAGGAGGAGGAGGAGGAACCGCAGTTTATTTTTGGCTCAGAGTTTCCTCAAACATCTCTGAGAGTCCGTCCTGAACGTAACAGCTTCAGCAGAGTTTGTCTGAACCCTGTGACCTCTGACCTTTAACCTCCACGCTGCAGGTCCACTGTGATGTTCAGGATCAAAGACGCTTCACTTTTAGATTATTTTACTCACTGAGGTGCCAAGGAGCCACATTTTAAACTCAACTTCAGACACCAGCAGGAAAAGAAGGAGGGCTAATGGGTCATATCAAACTAATTCACGTGTACATTAGACTTTAGAGTGCTTGAAAGGTGTTTTGTTATTATTTAGATTAGGCTAGGCTAACAGTTTCTGCCTGCTTTCACTTTTTTTGCGAAGCTACTGCTTAAGATACTTGTAAACAAATAAACTAATGTGTCATCTACATAACATTAACTACCTAGCAATGACATGAACTCATTACCTACTGAACGCTTTGGTTTGGTTGACTAATCACACAATTTAAACAACTTTGAACACTCAGAAAATATTTTGCATGTATCTGGGCATTCATGTCTGTGTTAGCTTGAGTTGTTTATCAGCTAGAAAGCTAACATAATGGTACAATGTTCTAGGTATTAACTGTTGGCTTACTGACTAAAGTCTGCAGCTTGGGGTGAACTTAGACAGTTTTAAACAGCCAGAAAACATTTCACACCTGATGTGTGCAGTTAATGTAACTTTAGCTTGGTGGCTAACGTTAGTAAAACTCATCCAACTGCTAAGATCTTGCTTTGCAGTCCCACAATGATCACACAGTGTATTGTGACTGCTGACTGAAGAAGCACTAGTTGAATGTACATTTTCCCCCTTTTTGCTAAGCTAGGCTAACCACGTCCTGAACAACAAAATTGCTAGCTCATTGAGTGATAAATTTAAATAGTTTTCAACTGCCAGAAAACAACAGTTTTTGTGATTGCTGCAGCTTATTAACAACATTTACTGTAATAGACATACTCGCTCTACTGGACACAAAAAAAATTAAACTGAATCATCAGATGTTGGAGAAGACAAAAATGTCTGACCGTGCCTGTAGCAAGCTAACATGTCAGCTAACTATGATTCGCTTTAACAAAAGTTAGCTTAACATAAACATGTGAAATAGAATTGGAATGGCATTGAAAGGAAACCAAACACTGTAGCTGTCTAGCAAGAGAGGCTAATGTTAGCATAACTTTCCACAGCTATCAACCTAAATTAGCCAAAGGGGATTTTGTGATTGTTGTCACTAAAAATACGTTTTCAGTGTTTTTTTCTCACTTCTCTCACCTGTTGATGGAACTACGTTGGAACTATGTGCTGCTTAGCACAAAGACTGGAAAGAGCCTATCTTCTGGAGCTACCTGTGGCTAACGGATAGGCTCATTAGCTCATTAGCAACCAAAGCTCATAGTTTCGTGATTGAGTGATGAAGACTTTGCATCTGTACTTTTGTGATTATTGTAGCTGAAAATACACTTGACATCGATTTTGTCGCTTTGTCAACCTTTAACAGAGCTAGGCTAACAGTTCCCTCTGCTTCCAGTCTTTGTGCTAAGCTAAGCTAACTCACAGAGCTGAAACAGCTAACAACAAAGAATCATGAAGTGCTGAAATGTTTCTTCAATAACTTCAGCCAGTTTTTAGTTTATAGTAGGGAGCTAAGAAGTTTTGTCAATAATCCTACCTCTGCCTCATTTCCAGCTGAGTTTTTCTAATGATTGTCGATGAAAATGACTTTGCAGCAGATTGTCAGACATCGAGGAGCTTAAACAGACTGTTTGGTGCCTTTTGTAGCTAAATTCCTGATTTTTTTTCAGCAGATTAATGTGACTTTTCCTGTACAGGCAGTGTTAGGCTAGAAACCCTCCCTATTTCCAGTTATTACGTTAAGGTAAACTAACCACATCTTGGGGAGATGAGATGTATTATCCGGCACACTTTCAGCTCAGAGGAAACTTAAGAACCTAAAGACCAGAGGGATGTTTTTCCAAACAGCACCGGTGTTAGGCTGAATCCTGTGACTGTTAGATTGTGTGACTTGATTAAGGAACTTAAGTGTGATCTCGTGTCTCCTGAATGCAACCTGAACTTTCATCCTGAAGGGAAACCACCTCAAACAGAACAGCAGGTCACAGAACGCAGTGTAACATCGGCATAGCAGCTACAGTGATTTACAGTCAAATCAAATGTCCCAGATGATTATCAGCTGCATGTCTGTTAATCACCGGCCAGAAGTATGTGGACACTGTCATTTAAAACTCCTTTTAAAAAAATCATTCTCTGTAAATCCGCAGCCAGTTTAAGAAAGTCAGTGATTTCAAATGTCTGAACTGACCCCTGCTCATTGATAATTAATTATTTACAGATCTAACCTTTGTTCAGGGAGGCAGGCTGAACTTGAGCTGCCACCTGGACACTGAAGGAGGCTTTAAGGTGCTCTGACCTGCACACCTCCTGGACGTGGATCTGACCTGAGAGCAGATTTAAGAAGAAAAACAAAGACTCACCAGAGACGAGCTTCCAGTCAGCAGAGCAGCAGGACTGAAGCAGTGAAGCAGCTGCAGCTCTGTCAGCCTCCCTCTGAGGTGTGGCTCCGACCAGGAAGTCCATCCTCTGTTTTCTGCACAGATCCCACATCCTCCGGGTGCTGCTCGGAGCTGCAGCGCCTCCTGCAGGACCAACACACCCATCACACAGTTAGCAACGAACCCGTTACCCCACCAGTGAGGGGCTGTTGTGTTATCTGTGCATACGGCCTTAAGTGTGCAGAAATGCAGACTCACAGCCTGGAGGTTGATCTGATCAAAATGAGAAAAATGTCAACAAGCTGCAGAATTTTTCTCCATGAAACTAAATTAAAAGACTATTTTTCTGGTTGTTTTGTGTTTCTCTGTGGGAGTTTTGTGTCTATGTGGGGCTTTTGTGTCTTTTTGTTGTGTTTTTGTGTTTTGTTGTAGTAATTTTTTGGGTTATATGTCCTTTATTATTGAATTTATTATATTATTATTACTATATTATTAAATTTCCCTTCTGGGATAAATAAAGTATTTTTCATTTCATTCATTTACGGTGGTTTTAAGTCTTCTTGTGGTGGTTTGGAAATTTTTTGTGGGTTTTTTTTTTGGGACTCTCCATCTGTCTGTAGAGGTTTTGTGTGTCTTTTGTGGTAGTTTTGTCTCTTTTGTGGTGGTTATACGCCTTGTTGTAGTCATTTTGTTGTTTTTTGTGGTGGTTATATGCCTTGTTGTAGTCATTTTGTGTGTCTTTGTGGTGGTTATATGTCTTGTTGTAGTCATTTTCTGTCTGTTCGTAGTGGTTATGTGGCGGTTGTTTGAGGGGCATTGTGGTGGTTTTGTGTCTTTTTGTGGTGGCTTTGTGATTTTTTTTCTGTCTCGTTTTGGAGGATCTCCATCTTTTTGTAGAGGTTTTGCATGTCTTTCTGGTAGTTTTATATCTTTTGTGGAGGTTGTATGTCTTGTAGTCACTTTGTGTGTCTTTGTAGTGGTTTTGTGTCCTTTATGGAGGTTTTGTGTCTCGTTGTGGATGTGAAGTGTCTTCTGTGGTGATTTGTTGTAGTTATGTGCGGGTTACTTTTGCGGTAAGTTTTGTGTCTTTTTGTGATGGTTTTGTGATTTTTTTCTGTCTCGTTTTGGAGGATCTCCATCTTTTTGTAGACATTTTGCGTCTCTTTTGTGGTAGTTTTGTCTCTTGTGCTGGTTTTGTGTCTTGTTGTAGTCATTTTGTGCATCTTTGTGGTTATTATTTGTCTTTTGCAGAGATATTATGTCTTGTTCTGGAGATTTTTTTCGTCTTTTGTGGTGATTTAATGCTTTTTGTGTCTCTTGGAGGATTGCTGTCTTTTTGTGGAGGTTTTGTGTGTCTTTGTTGTCATTTTGTTCGTATTTATATTAGTTATGTTGGGGTTATTCATTGGACTTCGTGTAAGTTTTGTGTCTTTTGTGGTGGTTTTGGTTCTCTCTTTGGAGGGTTTGTGTCTCTGTGGTTGTTGTGCATCTTTTTGTAGGAGTTGTGCATCTCTTATAGGAGGTTTTCTGTCATTGTGTAGTGGTTTTGTGTCTTTTGGACGTTGTTTGGTTTCTTAGTGTGGAGGTTTTGTGTAACTTTTGGAAGGATTTGTGTCTCCTTTCGGCATATTCTACCTTCTTTTTCCAGAATGAAGAAAAATGGGATGAAATAAAGTGACTTAAACTGCTGCATTTGATTTAGATGTTTTAGCCTTAAACCAAAATCCAGTCAGATTTTTGATGATTTTACACGATGACCTCGTTCTTCTGGGTTTGTCTCATGTCGGTCTCTGTTGAATTCAGCAGCGCCACCTGCTGACTGAGAACACACAGTGCAGCTGCTGTGATTAACTCATCATGTTTCTGCAGCTATTCATCACTGAGAATTGTTTAAGTCTGTCGTCCTTTACTGGAAACAGTGTCGTTTCAGAGGCACTGAACAGGACATATCAAATATAAACAGATTAATTACTGGCTAAAATAAATGTACTTAATTTGTACTCAATCAGCAGAGTCGGTCACGCCCTCGATAAATGTGTGTGTCATCATCAAGTCTTTACCGTGAGCAGAACACACCGGAACCTCACATTTCTTACAAAATAAATGTAGATAGTTGTTTAAATGTTGATGCACGTTTATTAAACTATTCAGTTCTTTTTGGGCTAAATGTCTATCCATTAAACACAGACCATATGAACAAGAATAATTATATAAATTTACAGTAATAACCACAAGAGACCTCAGCAAATGTACAGCAGTGTGAGTTAGTGCACAAAAACAAATCATCAGATAGATACATGAATGAATGCATTACATTAAATGGACAGTGATTCTTTTATTGCATACAAAAAAAAGTCGACTTAAAAAATTAATAGATGAGCAAATTGAAAGACAAAGGAAAATATTACGTGAATAGATAATTAAGTAAATAAACAAACAGCAATGTGCATCGGAATATTATATGAATATTGTGCACAATGAAGTAAATTAAATAGTTTAATAAATTAAATACATGTGTTGTGAAATTATAAAGTAAATAGATAAAAACATAAATAAATGAATGATTTTGAAACCATTCGGTGTTGCCTTTGGGTGAGTATGTTGAACAGATAAATCAGCAGATGAATTAAATGTGAACATTTCAAACTCATTAAAGCTTCAAAAGAAAACCTCGGCTTTTATGTTGAAATACTCAACCGGACGTGCTTGTGTGCATTCCGGTGAGTTTGACGCAGCCGCAGATCTGATTCCACCTGCAGCAGCAGCAGCAGAAGCAAAGAAGCATCATCTGATCCGCCGGCAACAGAAACCAGCAGAACAAAGAAGAAAAATCACAGAATCCACTTTTATTTTGACGCCGCAAACGAACAGGTAAACAAACATGTAAACAACCGGGCAGAGCTCCGTCACTGTCCTCCGCTGTTCGTGTCTGATGTACAGACGTCTGTTGGTCGGTTAAAGCCGGCTGCTGGTGATTTAAACAACACTCAGCGAGTATAAACACACAAATCGGAATATTTGTGTTTAATTGAAACACGAACCGGTTTTAAATGTATCGTGTGTAATGTGTTCGTTTTATTTGTTTCGAACCGGCTGGATGTTCGGTTTGTTCTGCGGCGGCGCTCCGAGCCAACGCCTCAAACCGGAGCCGATCCATCACCGGTCAGGCTGCAGCTGAAACCGATAATCGATCAGAAAACGTGGATACCGGTGACGCTAAAGCCGCCAGGATCCCAGAAAGAAAGCAGCCCGAAATAAAATGAGCAGAAACGTGAATGGAGTTTGGTGGCCGGTTTATTTCAGGCCGCCATGACCTGGTTTCTGTTTCGGGCTTTTCGGACTATTTTAAGTTTGGTTTGACGCCTGACGAGCACAGCAGCGTTTAAACACATGCTGGGTGGCTCTTTAAACAACATATGAGATTTATAAATGAAAGTATGAAGGTAGAATCAGCTGGAGGAGTCAGACGACAGTTATTTCATTATGCAGGAGGCTGAGGATGACATTCCAGAAACAGCTGCTTTGGTCCCTGTGACTGATAAATTATTATTAAATGTGCCATCAGTAGATTATTAATAGTGAAGCATCAGTGTGTCAGCAGCTGCTACTGTGGCTTCATACTACTTTATATCCAGCGTCATAGAAAGAGACAGAAGATAAATGTGAGAACAGCCTTAATACACAAATCTGTTGTCGGTTTTTGTCCATTTTTAATTTTAGTTTTAATTTTTTGGCTGGTTGTTTGAGCATTTATTGAAATTAAACAGAAGTTTAGAGGGAAAAATCCCTATTTGGTCTGAAAGGTGCTTTTATACGAAGCCGAACATGTTGAAAATTCCTGATTTAATCTTTGTGTTTTATTTAGAAAGTTGGTTACAAAAAAACATGGAAATACTCAAGTACAAGTGCTTAGTTACTGTCGACAGCTGTCCTGCTCACAGTTACCCTGGACAGCGCAATAACTTCTATTTCTGATCTGAACTTTATTTATAAGCATAACTTGCTGTGTCATATTTAAAACAGTTAGTAAATATCTATTTTTTAAAAGGGTCAAATAAGTCATTCATAAATCAGTATTTATTCTTAGCTGAAGCAGACAGATGCTTCACTCAACTAAAAGTACTAATGCCACATTGTAGCAACATTTTTTTAATCCAATTAAGTGAATAGAGGTAAATTAGCATACAGTTGCTAATCAAATGACCAGAGGTAAGGGGGGACAATGAATCACAGGTGATGAAATCGGGGTCTGGTGACCAGGCGGGTGGTGGAGTCGAGGTTCTGATTGCATACAGTTGCTAATCAAATGGCAGGAGGTAAGGGGACAATGAACAACAGGGGGTGGAATCGGGTGTCTGTGACAGGAGGTGGGAAAACACATGACAAAAGGTGATGGGAAAACACATGGCAACAGGGAATGAATTCAGGGGTCTGTGACCATCACAATAAAAGACAATGGCTTTCTTCATCACTAACAACATTTTGCAAAAATACTCCATTACAAGAAAAGTGCTGAAAACAAACTGTAGAAAAAACGTTTTTACATGTTCAAGTATTATGATCGACACTGTAAATAGGCTGCTCCTAGTACGAGGACAGATATCATATTGTAAAAATACTCAGTTACAAGTAAAAGTAGACCACATTGCAGAAACACTCCTTTACAAGTACAGTACTAACATTACATTGTAAAAAAAAAATAACAATAACATATTACCACGTTGGAAAAATACTCTTTTAATGTTTGTGTTCCAGACGCAGACATGATGGAGAAATCAAACAGCCAATATGACTCCTTCCTGTACTGGAGGCAGCCAATCCAGGCCCTCGACCTGTCGGAGCTGGAGGACCTGGGTTTGATCGCCGGCCAGCCGGCCAATAGCGGCAAAGGAAAAGACAAGGCGTCCCAGAAGTGGAGCCGCGACGACGAGGTGAGGCGTCTGTGTTCTCTGCTGCCTGTTGGCTCTTCAGTCAGAGTAAATGTGGGAATTTAATAATGAGAAATAACAACAAACATGAGATCTCTCCCTCACCTGTCCTCACCTCTCCTCACCCCCACAGGGCGAGCTGTCAGAGTTTTCCTCCTTCAACTACTGGAAAACTCCGATCGCTGACGTGGACGCTCTGCTGGCCGACCTCAGCCTGCTGCTGTGAGCACACCGGAATTAGCATCACCTGACCTTTGACCCCGACATCACCTGACCGCTGACCCCAGCATCACCTGACCTCTGACTCCAACACCACCTGACCTCTGACCTCGACATCACCTGACCCTGCATCACCTGACCTCTGAACCATAATCAGATTAAAACTTAACGATTCAGATTTAGCCCTGATCCGAGTTTAGGTTAAACTGTAATCCTGGTCCAGATAAAGCTCTGATCCTGGTACAGAGTAAACTTTAATCCTGGTTCGGATTAAACTCTGAACCTGGTTCAGATTTACCTTCCTGGTTCAGAATAAATTTTAATCCTAGTTCAAATTAATCTTTATTCCTTGTTCAAATTAACCTTTAATCCTGGGTCAGATTAAACTTTGAACGTGGTTTAGATTAAACTCTAATCCTGGTCCAGATTTAAACTTTAATCCTGGTTCAGATTAAACTCTAATCCTGGTACAGATTGAACTTTAATCCTGTTTAGATTAAACTCTGAATCAGTGTGAATCTGGTTTATTGAGTCACTTTGTCCAAGTTAAACAATCTGATGCTGCTTTTACAGTAAACCTGATCTTAGACTGTTTACACTGGAGTAATGAGAAACCAGATCAGACTGAAGTTTTGAATTCCCTTCTGTGGACAAAATAATAGAAACGCTGCATCGAGCTGTTGTTGATCAAATAGTTTAATCAGTGTCTCCATCAACTCAAATGTAATGAAGGAAGTCTGTGTGTTTTAGATGAATTAATTGCTGGAGGCCTTATCTCATAGTGATGCTGCTACCTGACTGAAGTCCCCTTTATTTCATGACATAAACACCTGGAATGGTGACCAACTTTTCACAGCTGAACACACAACCCAGAACAAACCCTCCCAGATCAGTAAGCAGTTAAAAGAAAAAGTTGCCTAAAATCTGCCACCTGAACATTATGAGATACGGCCTTCCATTTCTTCTTTAGTGAGTACACTTCTGTTGAGGTCTGAGACCTGCATTATGTTTCTTCTGTCGTTCCATCTGTGCCTTTTGTTTTTTTTTTTTCCAGAGCTGCTTTGTTAACAGTCACTGTTACCATCCGTCCCATTTGCATATTTATTTATTTATGTATTTATTGATTGATTTATTTATTAGTGCTGCTGTGTTAGTGAGCGAGCCTCGAACGGACTGCACACCTGCCAACAACAATAAAGGAAAAAACGTCCTATTTTGATCAGAGTCACTCGTTTTTTTGACACTGCAGTCAAACTGCTCAGTTTAGACATTTGGGGCTGATTGGGCTTCCACAACACGTCTTCTTTCAGATGAGAGGAAGGACAGAAATCTTTTAAAATACACATTATGTTTGTGTGTAGATTTCAAGCACAAAATGCATCTTTAAGGGCCTTTTTCTCTCAATATTTTTTCTGAGAGTCAGAGCCGGAAATCTTCACTTACATGAAATTTTCCAGTTTTACTCCCATTTATATTCTGAGGTTTTTCATTGCAGTCTTTAATCACATCTTTAACAGACATTTACAGAACATTTTATTCCTAAAAACATACCGTTCTGGCTGTTGATGGTATATTCTGACTCATGGAGTGATAGAAAAATAAATCCTCTCAGTAAAAACCTTTGACGTGTCAACAAAAGGAAACAAGAATTTTGAAGCTGCCTTTTTCCAGTGTCCTGATTTCTATTCTGGAAATTGATGCAAATTAGGACATATTCACTGAGAAATGACCTCATTTCTATATTTAAACAAAAGAGTTTAGACAGCTTGAAATACATTTAAAAAAAAAAAAGTTGTCTTAATGCAGGTAATCAACAAGAGAAGTTTCCTTTTGATTTTAAACATTTACCCTATTCAGATGTGTCTCCCCTGAAGGAAATAATCAATATACTTTATTGATCCCAGGAGGAAACTGCTTCAGTGCAGGATTAGCTTAAAAAAAACAGCACAAAGGGGGAAGAAAAGGCATCTGTGTCACAAAAACATTTATTTTAGTTTCTTAAAATACAAACAGAACACAAGTTATTCTGGAAGACAAATAACAAAACACACTAAAAACAAAAAAAAGCTTTATTTATCTTTAAATCCACCAAACAGCACAACAAACTGCTTTGGTCATGCAAAATATGAAGCAAACTTTTGTGAGATTGTAAAATGTACTTTAATGTGATAAAGATTTAAAACAACAACAACATACAGATTACATTTAAATTACACACATTGCTACAGTAGATTCATGGAAAGGGTCATTTTATGTTACTTCATATATAAAGTCAGATTTTGCAATTTCTTTTTATTGATGACTGTTTTATCAGTATTTATTAACAACAGATCAGTTGTTCAGTCCATAAAATGTCAGAAAACTGTAAAAAAATGCTGAAGTGTTTGCCAAAGCACAAGATGAGAAACGTCTTGTTAAGTCCACAAAACAACAATGTTTTATTTACTGTCACTGAGGAGAAAATAAATCAGAAAATATTTCACATTTATGAAGCTGGAGTCAGAGAGTTTAAACTTTTTCCTCTTAAAAATTACTGATTATCAGAATGGTTAAAGATTACTGTAATAAATAATTGATAAACTGGCCAAATAACTTTGTTTTAATAGATTCTAAATATCACTATATTGTGTATTTGAACGCTGCTTTATTTAAAGACCACAAGTTTACTTGTAAAGCTGTAGTTCCACTTTTTGAATGAACAACAGACCCGGAGCAGGCGGGACTTTCATCGGCTGATCTAAAGTCAGCTTCTGTCCGGACGCTGCTGCCGCTCTGACGGAGAGTCTGCGGCTCACACTGACCTCAGGTCGGTGCTCCGCTGCTCTCAGAGACCCACCCACAGGGAGGTTAACGCTCTGCTTCCACCTCCGGTGTCGCGGGGCCGCCACAGTTGTACTAGATAAAAACCCGAAAATAAGAGTTTTAAACCGCGTCCCCGGCAGGTGGACACCCGGTTCACGGCAGGAGGAGGAGAGTTGCGGGAGTTTCCGGGAGAAAAAGGTAAAAGTCGCTCCGGTTCAACTTTCTGACTGTCGGGATGCTAACAGGCTAACAGCTAACAAGCTAACAGGCTAACAGCTAGCAGGCTAACGCAGCTAGCAGCGTCGAAGAAGAACTTCTCGTCAGGACTTTCAACATAAAGCACACCGAACAAAAATGTAAACACAGCCTGCAGATGTTATTTTTGTCTGAGTTAGAGAAAACGTTTTAAAGTCGAATTTCTATTGTTATGGATAGAAGAAAAACATGCACAGAAAGTGTTCAGCTTTTTAATAATTGGTGACAAATTCTTGACCACTGAGTCAATCCACAGCGTGACCAGGTGTAGCTTTAAAGGACATGATCACATCATGTGACAAACACCTTGACTATAAAACACCACCTTTAAGTGTAGGTTTATGTAAAATAACATTATCCCATAGATGACAACAGGAATTTAAGAATGGACTGTTGGCTGGATGCTGTATGTAAGTTCGGACCACAACAAAGTGTGAATGTCCACAGCTCCACCATTTGTCATCTAAGAAATCATTTCAGAGTGTAATACTATAGACAGTCTGCCACATGATGCTCTGGATGGACGTGTCCAAACAATGGGACGTTGTCCTCAAAATGTCCACCAACTTTGCTCCTCAGCACAAGTGGGACGACATTCCACAAGTAGCATCAACAATCTCATTAACTCTCAGAATCACAGATGTGGGACTCAATATTGACTTGTGATTTCTAGTCTATGACCCATCATCACCTCCAATGTAGTTGTGTTTGGTTGTTTCATGACATCCATTGTGTTGCTGAGATGCCATTTGTTGGAACAACACACACATATTGCCTGATGCTAAAAAGAAATGAATAGAATTCAATAAAATATGACATGCTGTGTGTGTATTTTAAATGTTTCAAATGGTACCTTTTAACCGCTCAGTGAGCTTCAGCAGGTAATTGATCAGGTGACTGACACATGATTGGCCAGCAGTTATTTAAGGTAGACAGATAAGGATTCTGCAATTGTTTAAGCAAAACTTATAACTTTAAGCAGTAAACTAAATAGTTCACATTTTTGGACTGCTGGTGAGAAAAAATAGTGGATTATCCAATAATGAAATGTTAGTTACAGCCCTGCTTATCAGAGATAACCTTAAGCTTGCTTGTAATTAATTATAGAGCAGGTCAATAATACAGTATCTTTTTTTTTTTACTCTTAAGCCTAATTAGTCTATTTTAGGGAACACCAAAGCCGCATCCTTCACTTAGTTTGCCCAGAACGACTGTAATTTTGTTTTAAGAAATACAAACCAGCCAAAGGGTTCCCCTATAGGATGATATATCCTGTAGGAGAAAATTATACATGGTGCAACCAGAAAATTATGTACTACAGAGCGGGCTGGTAAAACACAGGGGTTAAACTGTGACAATGGAGTTCTCCATATGACCTGTGGGGGCAGCAGTGCGTCTCTGCTGCGTGTCGTCTGCCGCAAATATCCTCAGAAGAAGAAAGAGGCTACATCCATAACATTCAGCCTAGTAGCGGCCGCCTCTCGCTAACTTTCCGCAGTAAACAGGCCCGAAGGAGCCCGGCAGGCGGTAGTGGCGCCTGATCCGAGTGCTTAGCGAATTTGGAATAAAAATCCTCACATTACTGGCCCGCTTCTCCGCAGCACAGGGCGATAAAAGCGCACCAACCCTCCGCACACGGGGCGGCTTGTTGTGTTTAGCCTGCGAGTGTGCTAACATTAGCACCGAAGAGAGCAGCCCGGCGGGCTCCCAACAAACCTGGACACGGTGAGTAGCCGAACCGCCCTCGTTTGCCGGGAGAAACCTCTATTTTTCTTTATCTTCACACGGTGAAGGATCAGCAGGACAACGCGGTGGGGCTGCAGGGTTTCGGCAGCGCGACTCCGGGCAGCCGATTGACGAAGCGCGCATGAAGAACGCTAGTTAACCGGATGTGGAAGTGGTTTTTTCTCCGCGTGTAAAATAGGAAATTTCTGTGACTTCCCCCGGAAAACCAACAACTTAATATCAAACGGTTTCCTGTCGGTGTTACTGTAAATGTTTAGGTGGCCAAGGCTGCGGGTTTACACGGTGGAGGTGCCAGATAACGGCTCGGAGAGGGCACGGGGGGGTACGTGGCACATGGCGGACTCTTTTCTGTCCGTGAAGGCGCGTAAAATGGCTCCTCGGCCGCGGAGAGAAAACCCTCGTCCCTCTCCGCTGTTTCGCAATCACGAGTGCTGTATATCGATAAGGGTTCCATTATCGGACACACTTTTCCGTTAAAATAAAAGCATTGTTTCTCGTTAAAAACACAAACAATCCACTCGTACCAGCTCCAGCCATCAAACCCGGTTACATTTTGAATTTGTGAGGTTATTTTTGTGCACTTTTAGCTTGTCGATGTAGTTAGCGCACAGACCATTCCCATATGTGGATCCATTATCGGACACTTGTCGATTCGTGTTGTTTTTGTCACTTATTTCACGGCACGTTAATGAAGTTCACGATTCACATCTTTTTCTTAAAATCCACGTTGCTGAGAAGTAATAAAAGCTGTACATAGTAACTTTATAACGAGTTTGATCAGGCAAAGTAATATAGAAAAGTAGCGGTAGTGTCCGATAATAGACACGTAGCTGTTAGCTTCAGCTAAGCTATTACAGTGACGTGTAGGGAAAAAATACTTAAACGCTGGATAAAATCTGTAACGTTAGAAATGTTTCAGTAGCACATTAAGTGGAAAAATGGTAGTAATATTAGATTTGGTTAAAAATAAATATAAAATAGAAGCCGAGTTTTATTTGGGCGTTATTTTATTGACTCGTACATCTATAAAGAAAAGTTTTTTTTTGTCTTTAAAATGTCAGCTGTCAGTAAAAACATCTGTTATCCTGCAGAGTTTTGTGTGTTTGCATATTTAAATTTCAGACAAAAAAAATATGTTCAATATGACGTCATAGAATAAAAACAGCAGATTTACATTAGAAAAACTGAATGACACTGATTTTGCTGTTAGAAGAATATAACATTTTCAAAATCGGTCCTTTTATTGGTGTCATTTTCTGTCAGTCAACTGCAATGAATTATTGATGTCATTTGATGTGTAACTGAAACTGATTTTTTTTCTCTCTCTCTGTAATCACAACTAGTTTACATTGATTTAAGATGTGCAGCTATATAGAGTTTTACTTTTGCATAATTTTAGTGAATTTTAAGCTGCAGTTAACAACAGTTGCTTCTTTGTAAGACGTCAGCAGTCAGTGAAGAGCACACTGCAGAGTTTAGTGCATTTGTATCGAATAATATCCTGTTTTGTCTGATAAATACGAGCATGTTCAGTTCACCATCAGAAAAGAGAAAGAAAACAACAACAGGTTTATGTTTACAAAACTGAATCTATTGTTATTTATATTGAAAATATTGGTAAATCCACTTATATAAGCAGTTTGTTTGGTGTTTGATCTTTCATTGCGTGTGTCTCACCTCCGTTTTATTTATGTATCTGTTGAGCTTTTGGTTTATTAACTGCATGTAAAAGTTTAATTAAAAAAATAGTGTCAAAGTGGTGAAAAGTTAAGTTTACTCCAACACAAGGTGTAATCTTCACAAAGATATTCAGTTTACTGTCATGTGACTCGGAGGATCGTCACATTTATGAAGCCTAAAAATAATTTTATTGCTGAAGTAGTTGACGATTAATCAGCTGGTCTTTGCGGTATTTGGTAGGTCATTAGCAAATAGATGCTTTTAAATGTTTTTCTTTATTCAGATTGTTTTAACAGCTGTGCCTGTTTTGGTATTCATTTGGATTAGATTGCTTGGGTATTTAGATATTTGTTCATTTTGAAGAAGTTTTGTTACAGTTCAGGACACAAATGTTCCTTCATAATGAGAACTGATCAACTGTTTTGATCCTGCTGTCAGATGTCGCTGGTGGACCTGGGGAAGCGACTACTGGAGGCGGCTCGGAAAGGTCAGGACGATGAGGTCCGAAACCTGATGGCTAATGGAGCTCCGTTCACCACCGACTGGGTGAGACGTCCCCAACTGTTGATTTCATTCATACTTTATCTGATTATCGTTTCCTCATCAATAAAGTTGACTTCAAATGGTAGAAAACACTCTGAACAACAGCTTAAAAATATTCACTTAACTGCCACACCAGACAAAGAAGAGCAAGAAACCCTCGCAATTAAGAAGCTGAAACAAATAACTGATTAGCAAAAGAGCTGCTGATTGTTGTTTTTGCTTATTGATCATTCATTCTGTCATGTGTGGATACTTAATTTAAGTAACAAACACAGTTAAACCTTAGCAGAGACGTATTATCCCATCACAGAAGGACCATTGTCTTCATTTGTTTTATAAATTCAATCACTTGTCTCTGCAGCATCTCTTTTGTTTTTATGCTAAAGAGCTTCTCTTGTAAACATGACATGTTTAATGGCATCAACTGAAGGAGACACTTTGACCACTAAATGTAGAAACAAAAGGATTTATTTTGTTTTGATGCACAATGATATAAGACACTGAACCTGCTTTAAGAAACTACAATAAATGTTGGTTTTTGTTTGTTTTAACCTGAGTTGTAATGCATCTGCCTTATACATGTACCAAATTTTAGACTGATAAGTAAAAGCAGCTTTTACAGGAAAGATGCAACAGCAGCACTTCTTAACTCCTAATTTCACATATTTGTAGCTAACAAACTGCTAACGACTACACCAGGAGTTGTTGCAGGAAGGCACTAATCGATATAATAAGACTGTCCTGTGTTTCCTACAGCTGGGTACATCCCCTCTTCATCTGGCTGCTCAGCACGGACATTATTCCACCGCCGACGTCCTGCTGAGAGCTGGCGTCAGCAGAGACGCCCGCACAAAGGTGGACAGGACCCCGCTGCATATGGCCGCCGCCGAGGGACACACGGTCATCGTAGAGCTGCTGGTCCGGGTGAGAACTGTTTCACTGACTGACTGCAGACTTTAACTGTTTCCTTAACCAATAGTCAGTTATGTTTACAACAATTACTAATTGATTAATCATTGAATTTAAAAAATGATGGATGCAACAGTTTTTCACCACTCAGATTTAATGTTTACTCTTAAATCAGCTCGTCACATAAAGAACAGATGAAGTAAACATCCGGCTACTGCATTATCAACTAAATACAAAACATCATGACTTCACTTTAAATTCAGCCCGACAAAATCCAGAGTGTTAGACACAGCAAACAAACAGCAGTTTTCCACAGTAAATGAACTGCACATTAAAGTTATTAATCTCTTCACAGCAGTTTGAAATCAGAATAATCTTTACAGCTGACATTGTGGATTGACTTGTCCACTGTAGTCGACATTAGTCCAGCTGCTGGAAGCAGCTACTCAGCTGGAACAGATGTCCACAAATACTGTTGCAGCAACTTTATCAGTCCAGGAAATCTGTCAGTAATTAGTGCCACTTCTGAAATGTATTTATACTAAGAGCAGAGCATCGCTGACACACTACAGCACTTTGGTTTGAATGCTGTTGGAAGCATGTAGTCAGAGTCGTGCTGCTCCTGAAAGTGAGCAGCGTCTCCACTGACAGACACTTGGCTCTCGGCCTGTGTAAGCATTTAGACGTCCTAGCTTAGCATAAGCTGCAATACTTTTATTTCACCGCTGCACCATATGTCCCTTGTCATCTGCAGTAATCTACAAGTTGCTTCTCTGTTGTAGCTGTGAGTTTGAATGTTGCTGGAAAATAAAAAGACTCTAAACCAGACTTTAGTATTGTTCCCTGCGTCTGCAAGTCTTCAGATTCTCTGCAGGAAGTAACTGCATCTCATTGGGGCTTAGCCCAGCTGTTAGATGATTTGCTGTTGTTCCTCATGTTTGAGTCCAACAACTGTTTCCCTGCTCAGTTGTCTTTACACATGGGGTCTATTTGTGCCAGACCGGTCTGAATCTCACTTGTTAAAGATCATTTTTGGTCCTTTATTTTGACAACAGCAGTAGACGTATTCGAGAAAGAGAAAGGGGGAATAAAATGTAGTGAGTGTTTGGCTGGCTGAGAATAGAACGAGGGAATAACTGTTGACGTCATTTGTGCCTTTGTGTTATGTTTCACAATCTCTCAGCTGTCATTTGTCTCCAGAAACTCACTTTTTATTACATTAAAAAATGTATTTGATAACACCAGACTGAGAATTGATCTTAAATAAGTGTTTGACATTTTTTTTCTTAATAATTGCCCTAATCAATAATCAGAATATTTGACAATTCCTTTTTGTAGTTGATCATAATCCGAGCAGTTGCTGACCTTCTTTTTGATAATCTGCCTCCAGAGCGGCGCCGATATTAACGCCAAAGACATGCTGAAGATGACGGCCCTGCACTGGGCAGCGCAGCACGGACATCACAGCGTGGTCGAGACCCTCATCAAACACGGGGCTGATGTGCACGCGCTCAGTAAGTTCGACAAGACGCCGTTTGACATCGCTGTCGACATCCAGAACACCGAGCTGATGCTGCTGCTGCAGGTGAGACAAAGACGGGGAAAAAAATGTTTTGGTCTGGAGGAATGCTGAAACACTGAAGAAAATGTGTTTCCTGTGTTTGTGGTTGTAGCTATATTAAATGTTTCAAGTTGTGTGTGTCTGTGTGTGTGCAGGAGGGCATGCAGAACCAGGTGAATATGAATCAGGTGAACATGAACCAGGTGAGTATGAACGTGGAGACAAGTGGCACCACCAACCAGCCTCAGTTCATCATCCAGGGAATACCTGCCATACAGGGAGGCGTGGTCAACCTGGCCGAGCTGCTCAACAAGGCCAACGCAGGTATGAGCGCGTGCAGACACACACCTCAACTTTAACCCTTTGCATCCTGTGTATTTGGTGTCTGTTCTAATTTTTATGTATCGTCAGGTGATTCAGAGGAGGCAATGGCTGCCAGCGCTCTCGACTCAAACATCCAGCATGCCGCTGTCGTCAACGAGGGGGGTCAGAGGGTCATCACCATAGTAACGGACCAGCACGGCAACCTGCAGACCACCGGAGGGATGGCACAGCCGTTCTTCGTCACCATGCAGCACGGACAGCAGAGTACGGCACAGACGTCTCCTGTCAGGGTGTGGGGAGTCTGACGATGTTTACATGCTGCTGACTCTTTTTCTTTTGTTGTTGGTTTGCTTTCAGTGCTGGCGGTGCCGGCCAACACGGTGACAGAGGAGGTGGTGACGGAGGAGCCTCAGCTGCCACCCTCCAAGAAGAGAAAGGTGGAAGTGACCAACAACCACAGCGATGGAGGAGAAACGGTGAGCAGAGCCGCAGCTCTTACACTATGATGTTTTGAATAAAAATCTGGTTTCTGCTGGAGTTTGTCACATTCTGACAGTAGTTCACCTTTTTGGATATTTGTTGTATGTGAGTAAGAGAATCAGCAAAGAAAAAATGCATTTTTAACCTGAAATCAGCAGTTTTTTATTTCACTCAGACAATTTTTGTTGGTTGTGGATTGTGTGACTCTTCCTCTTCGTCTTCTTCAGGAGTTGTTGCAAAGGCAGCTGCAGGAGGCCAACAGGAAGGCACAGGAGTACCGACAGCAGCTGCTGCGTAAGGAGCAGGAGGCTGAAGAGTACCGCATCAAGCTGGAGGCCATGGCCCAAAGTCAGGCCAACAGCACCAACGCCAACACCACCGCCAGCACCGCCGCCAACGCTGCCAGCCCCGAGGAGGTGGTGGGAGGGGAGGAGGACGAGGAGGAGGGAGCTGCCGGCGTTGTAGAAGAGGAGGGAGAGATGGTGGTGCTGCAGGAGGGCGGCATTATCATGGAGGGGGAGGAGGGTCAGGTGACGCTGGTGGAGACGGGGGGAGAGACGACAGAGGTCAGCTCCTAACAGAGAGGGACGGGTGAGGAGGGGGAGACATAGATGTAAGGACACGTCGTAATAGGAAGTGGTTGGTTTGACTCACGCAAGTCTGCATCCCATTAAACGTAGGAGGAGGAGGAGCCGAGTCATGGCAGGAAGAGTGCACCGTTTTGAATCCCCACAAACATCTGATACCAACATGGAAGAGAGGAGAAACAAAATGGCCTCCTCAGAGAAAGACAGATTGATGGAGGATTACACATAACGGTGGAGTTAGCACCATTTTGAATCCCCACAAAGGTCTAATACATGAGAGAGGACAAATAAAATGGTTCCCCAATCAGTCAGCGGAGACAAACAGACTGAAGATAAAACCTGATGGTGGGATTTAGTTATGCACCATTTCGAATCCCTGAATGAATTAATACCAGGGAGGAGCAACAGAATGGAGGACTGAAGTCAATCAACTTTTTTAGTTCCTGTTTATTTTTTTCTTTTATTTTCACTGAATGCCTCCTTTAACGAGCTGCAAAATTTTTGCTGCAGAAATGGGACCTTCACTGGAAGGCACATTTACTTTTGTTCTTCATTTTACCTGCAATCAGTGATCCGAATCAAACAGCGATGAGGGATTTGGGAGGGTCCTCCCTGTCAGCAGACATTTGTTTCCTGCAACACTTTGCCTCCCTGTTCAACCCGGAGTGTGTGTTTATGAACACACCACTGAACTGAGCCCATTTGCTTTGTGTTAGAATATACATATAGCAGGAATTTAGACTTTTAGTTTGTCCTTTTGACAGTTTCCACTCTTGATATTTGGATGCCATTGCTGATCCCTGTTACATACATTTTTATCCTTACCTTTTTCTGAAATTCAGTTTTTCTGTGGGCTGTTTTGTTGGGTAAATCCTGGAGTCAACACAGCCATCTGTTGGATGCCTTCATAAATCTGGACCATGTTGCTCTGTTTAACACCATTTTGCTAAGTTCGGCCACAACTGGGAGCTGTGAATTTTCAGGACTGTTTGGACACTACATTCACTCCCTGTGAACTGCTCTTCTGTTCTTTACATATTTTGTATTTTTGATGTTTATGATTCGTTTTGTTCTGGACATTTTTATCATGTTTTAATAGCAGTACATCGTCATATGATCCCATATTGATCGTTTAAGCACCAAACAATATTTCCCATTTCTTTCTGGATAACTGATCCTATATTAAGTGGGGAGTCCAAATGGCCTTGTTGGAGCTTTTTGACAAGCAAAGGGAATCTATTCCGGGCTCAATGCTGCGCTTCCCGACTCATTTCCAGTATTTTTTTTGGTCCAAAGGCCGATTAATGTCTTGTGTTTGTTCCCATGCTGACTCGTGAGTTTCCCAGAATCCTGAATACAACAGAACCAGATCCATCGTGGACAGCCTCGTTTAGTAATTCCGATGATTTAGTTTCCTCCATCAGGTGGGTGTGACAGGGCTGACTGAGGACAGGTATAGGACTGCTAAATAATCACTTCTATGATCGATCCTGAATATTTCATTAATTGCTGAGTCTTTAAATTCCCCCCCCTCAGTCCCAGGTGACATCTTCAGATGACTTTTCTGTGATAAATAAACCTAAAGAGAGACTAATAGTAAACAAAGAAATATATTTGATTTACTTTCTAATGATAAAACATTTCTGTAATTGCCTGTTAACATCGGCTCTGTTGCTGCCACTGGCTGGTAGTCCAGTCTGAGGCAATGCAGTATTTCTATTGGCCGAGGGTGCAGACGCTCACAAGAATTCAATCCACTAGAGTTTGTTTGAACAGGAGGTGGCGTGAATGTTTACAGGATACATTTACAGTTTTTAGTTGACAGACAACGTTTAACTCACATGACTAATCAACAGTTTCTCCTTCTAGAGACTCTGAACTGCATGAAAGTTGTCCAATACCAGCTGATGTGAAGAAATATTTAGAACTTCACCAACGGAAAACAATACTACAAGATTTCTCTCCATTTTTTGTTTATCATAGATGGAAGAGGTTTAGTTTATTCTTCTTGTTTGGGGTTTTTTATTTGTTTGCAAAGAGCTGGTTTCGTTTGTTGCTGCTTCTACTCTGTTTATTATAGCAATGCCTAATACAGCGTATACCGCCACCTTCTGACGACACTGTGCAGTGTAGTTTATTCCCTCCACAGCAGTTATTGGACACATGCTTCATTTGCATTTCTGTGATGAGTTATCTGATAATTCAGTTCACATTTGTATGGAAACATGGCTAGTGCCTGTAGTCAGTTGAAGTGACACAAAGAGCGTCCCTGTAGTTTTTCATCTGCAGGGCCTTTGACTTTCACCTGATGTCCAGAAGTTTCCGAGCTTTAAAAGTTCCTCCAGCTCATTGTGATTTGCGCTGACATATCAGAATGTGACGTGTTGGATTATCACTCAAGTCTTGACTCTGTGGTTGGTTGTAAAATCTCTAGTTGTGCTGCATCCTGATTATTGTCGTCCACAAACTGCAGCAAAACAACCTGTTTGCAGCTGCAGGGTTTTAAAAAATGTCAGCTGTAGAAAACCCCGAATCAGTGACGATCACGTTCCTGAACCTTGAATTACCTCTGAGCAGGGAGCTTCATCACGACCCTGCATGTTAGAGTGTGTGAGATGAGTCCTCTGCTTTACTGCACGATCAAAATGTACCAGATTAACTTTGGCAGTCTACAGTTGGAGGTTCAACACCTGAAGCCACAGGTACGCTGCACTAAGAGGCTTCAGTCAGCCCAGTTCAGCCCTGTTCGCTCCCACAGTGGAAAACCAGTTACTGATACTACCTGTCAGCTGATATCCATGTTTGGTACCTGTTCAAACTCACCTGTACCCTTCCTTCCCTCCTTCCTCTGATTCTGCATCCTTTGAGTTATAGTTATTTTTATAAGCTCAGTGAAGCCAACCTTTTCTATGTACATATAAAATTGTATTTTTTTAACTGTACCTGAATGCTTCAACATGATGATGATGATGATGATGATGATGGCTGCCTGCATTGGTAATCTGAAATATAAACACCTGTTTTTTTCAATAACAACTTCTTTGTTGTGTTGTTAATGCTTTTAGAGCAACAGCTGAGAGCTGTGCGAGGCGTTCACAGACCACACCTGAAATCATTTATTCATGAGCTTTCTATAGTTTTTGCGGCTCTGTGACTACCAGAAGTTTGGCGTCTGTTTGGTTCATTTACAAACATTCACGCTCAGTTTTAATCCATAATTTTCACTTTTTTCAAGCTAGAAATGCATAAATAAACGTAGAACTAGACAAACCAAAGGGTGTAAAAGTACAGAAATAAAGTAAAATGGATTTCTACACTATTTTTCCTATTTAGACATTAGGTATTACTATACTGTTTTTCTATTTCTACATACTTTTTTCTGTATGTCTATGCTTTTTTCTATTTCTGCATTTATTTTTTGTATATCTGCAATCTCTTTCTGCATTATTTTCTCAGTTTTTATCCAGTTTTTTTTCTAGCTTCTACATTTATTTATTTCTGCATTTTTGCAGTGTTTTCTTTTTCTTTCTTTCTATTTGTAAATGTATTTCAGGAGATCAATACTGTTATTTTTCTATTTCTATGTGTATTTATTTATTTATACACTTTCCTATCTGGATTTATTTATTTCAGCATTTCAACATATTTTTTTCCCCTCTGTTTACATTTCTTTTATTTCTAAATTGATTCATTTATGCATTTCTTCACATTTCACCCTCAAGATTTATTTCTGCACTTTTTTATGTTTCCACACTTATTATTTTTTACATTATTTTTGGATTTCCACATTTATTTATGTATTTCAATAATGTTTATTTTTTTCTCTTTCTATATATAGAACATTTTCTTTATGAACAAATTGGTTTATTTATTATCTTTTCATAACAGCTTTAGTTTTTTTTTTTTTTAAGTAGACCAAAGTTATTATAGTTAAAAGAAGAATACCTTTATTTTGTTTTTTATTATAATCGTCTTATTTATGATATAATTTGTGCTGCTGACAGTAAAATCTGACGATTTAATGTAGGGGGCGATTATTTCGTTAGGATTCAGGAACTACAGCTCCCATGAGGCTTTGCGGGACTGTCTGTGGCTTTTAGGATATAAACGCCCAGTTCGTGGATTAACGCCCGATCAGTCCTGATTGACGTCTGCATCGTCCAATCAGCGGCGGCGGAGACACTCGCGGCCAACCCAGAGCTTCGTGGGGCGGGGCCGCAACGGAGGGGGCAGGGCGCGAGGTATCATGGAGGATCAGTAGGCAGACTGCGGCCAGCAGAGGAGGGCAGCCAGCGCTCTGATCCCGGGGACTTTCTCAACTGTTTACCGCCCGCTTCTCCACCGCTACACCGGCTGCTTCACCATGGACATGAAGAAGAGGATCACCTTAGAGCTGCGGAACCGGAGCCCGGCGGAGGTGAGCGACTTATACTTTAATAACATTAATTGTTGCCCGAAATAGTCCGGGGGGTGATGAGCGTCCGGAGCCCGTGCTGGCTGCTCACATGGAGCCCGCTCACCCGCATCACCGTGTCGGATATTCGTCCCCTAAAACGCAAAAAACCAATTAGCGGTTGCCCCGGCAAGTAGTAGCGATCCCGACTGGATGTGAAGCATCTTTCGGTTCGCTCCGTCCGCCCGCCCCCCATCTGTTCTCCGGTGAAATCCCGTCTCTCGCCGAGGTTTAAAATATACCCAAAAATGTTCCATCTAGCCGCCGGTTCACGGTTCTAATCCCACCGGGACGGTTAGCTGTACACTGCCCGATCACCGAAACACCGTCACGGACCAACGAGGCGAAGTTTAACTTTTAATCATCCATCAGGGGCTTCGAGCAGCTCCGCTTTACCGGAGACGACGACGTGCTGAAGCGGAACAAACACAACCGAACCGCCGGGCGTTGGGTTCGGGTCAGAGCGGGTGTTTGTCGGCGGGCACCGGGCTGTTTGGGGCTCACCGTCCCGGTTTAACGGTGTGTGTCAACAACAACACCTCGGCTGGAGCGTCGTCGTCCTCTGCGAGCGGACATTTTAAGTCTCCGGCGGCTCAAACTTCGACGGAAATGTCTCCTACCGGACATTTTACCGAGCTCTGCCTCGTCACACGGACTGTAGAGTCAATTTAAATCACGTTTATTGTGTTGTTTGAGGCTTTTCTGGAGGTTTCGGTGCGACCCTGCTCGGTGGCGCACCGAGGTCGGTCACACACCGTCGGGCAGTAACGCGTTACCGATTTACCGTTACAGAAAGCGGATTAGCCGCCGCGTCGACGGGACGCATGAAACCGATGAATATTTCGATGCTTTGACACCAGAAACGGTCCGAAAAGTCGCCGCGGTTCGTTACTGTAACGTGATTAGTGAGTAACGAGGAGTCGGTGTTTGGATATCGGCTCAAGATGGCGTTACTCCGGGCTTTAGAGTAGCGCAGATTAGACGGGATTACTGCTGGTTCTGCTCTAACGGATCCACGCAGCTTTGTTTATTTACCCTGAACGTGTTACTCCGTTAAACGTTACTACGTGAAGGCGCGTTAATCGGTAATATTCAGGTTGTGTCGTCCATTTTTATACACTCCATACTGTGAGTGTGTGTGTGTGTGTGTGTGTTATATAAGCCCGCAGCTCCAGTTAAATAACACTGACACTTAATTGAGCCGAGCAGATGAAGCGCTGCTGTCATGTTTTATGAATTGGGGGAAGCCGGCAGATGGTGGATGTGGACGCAGGAACCCCCACCTCCATCAGCACTGCGGGCAGATTACTGAGGGTTAAAGCCGCCTCAGTCACTCTGGAGGTGGAAGAGCTGCAGGCTGGAGCTCTGCTCGACTCTCTGCTCGTTATATAAGCTGGAAAAACCAAAGGAACTCTGGGAAATAAAATCAGCCACCAGCTGATCTCCCTCCACAACACTGTCTGTCCGCTTCTGTGTGTCCAGCAGCAGGGCAAAGTTTGGACTCAGTCAAGGGCTTGTCTGTGTGTTTTTCTGTTATTTTCTACAGTGTGCAATGTAGGGAACAAACGAAAACATGATGCTATTGGGAATATTGTTGATTATGCATTCAATTAGTTGATTCATTAGTCTGAAAAATGCCAGAGACTGTCAATAAATGTCTTGTTCTGTGCAACACCTCAAAGAGATTCAGTTTACTGTCATCGGAAAAAAAAAAAAAAAGATGGAATCAGAGCACTTGTTTCCTTTAAAAAAAAATTACTCAGACCCGTTAATCAATTATTAAAATATTTGGGGATTATTTTATTCTCATAACTGACAACTCATGGATTAATCGTTGCAGCTCTACTTCACCATCTTAATCATTTTAATGAGCAATAATTACAGTGGAACCATCTGGTCTCACTTTAGCTGTGTATAAAATGACTTGAGTTTATTGGAATTAATGAATGAATCCAGTCAATAGTGATCTGATTGGCTATTGATTTGTTCCACCAATGTGTTTAGGAAAAATCATGACTTTGGTATAAATAAATAAGTAAAGATGTAGAAATATATAAATATGAATACATATTGGTAATGAATGAGGACATAATTAAGTGAAGCTATTCATTAACTTTTATTTA